CAGGGCTTCAGGGGCTACTCCGAGGGCGTTCGACCGTGGCGGCGAGGTGCACTCTTGTACCCCACCCGGCGTCGCCGCGCTGTGCGGCCGTGTGTTCTATCCAGACGTTGCGTTGTCGCTCTTCCCGATCTTCAGCCCTCTGTCCCTGCAGGCTGGCGTGGACGCTGACTTGGAGAGGTCACGATCCTGGTGCCAGCTTTGACACTTTGGCCAAACACCAGACATCGTGCTGGCCCAGAACCAAATGGGGAATGATGAATGGAGGCGAGGTAACCACCAGGTGCCCTGAATCATTTGACTTAAGTAATTACAGAGTGCCACGGATGGTTGGTGTCCGGAAAGCCACGTGCCTTGACTAGTGGTGGCAACGCTAAGCAAAAACCAAACCCAAGACGTAGGTAAATCCCAGCACAGGGCTAGGATATATGATCGTTGAAACTAACAGCTGTTGTCTACAAAAGTAAACTCAGTAGCCTACATGTTCAAAATACTTTGTCACTGATCAAATATTTTTACTCAAGGGATCAGAAAGTTATGCTTGACTTACCTTGAATTTCCTTTTTAATAAATGCTGGTAACTGGAAGCCTTGAACAGAAGAAATTGCTGGATGATGAATACTCTATATAAAGTTTTGAGTTTGATAAGGTTCATTTCAAGACTTAATTTCCATGTCTAATCTAACTCCTAGATAGAATTGGTGAATGTCTATAATGAAAGACTTTGAACTACTTTCCAAGAAACATTCTAGAAAATTTTCCTTCCCTTAAATCATTAAAAAAAAAAAAAAAAAAAGGCATTTTACTTCCCAAAGAGGTTTATTCTTCTGCCTCTATTCAACTTGCTAGGAAAGGTCATAGAATGATGAGTAAGTTGTCAGATCCCTGCTCTGACATAGCTCACAGTATATAGGGGAGACACACACAGAGCCACCTGTAGAATACAAAGCAGATGGTAAATGCCAGAATAAAGACATGAACAGTGTGCCTTGGAAATAAGTAAATTTTGACTGGGGACAGCAGGAAAGGTGGTTAAGATGTGATCCTGTTGAGCTGGATCTTGTTAGTTGCCTGGGAGTCGGCTCTGACTCCTGGCGACCTTATGCGTTACAGGAAGAGACTGTACCCGATCCTGTGCCGTCTCCATGACTTTTCATATGTTTGAGTTCACTTTTGAGGCTGTTGTGTCAAGCTGGATCTTAAAGAGCAAGATTTGGTTAGGTAGAGAAGCCCACCTTAGGAAGAGAGAAAATAAAGACAAAGGATGAAAATGAGCAAAGATGTATTTTGTAAACAAAAGTTTATAGAATACAGAGTAGGAATGGTAAATTGTTGCAAAGAGGGTCAGTATGAGTTGAAAATTGACTTAACAGCACCTGAAAACAACAAAAAGGGAGGATAGGACTAGACTGTAAAGATCTTGGAATGTCATGCAAGGGATTTTATTTTGTAGGCAATGGGAGCCATGGAAGGTTTTCAAGCTAGGGAGTGACACCATCAGAACTGTGCTTTAGAAAGATAACTGGGAGGGAAGTCAGAGGTGAATTGCCAGAGATTAGAGACCAAAGGTCAGGTAAATAATTAGATGGCAGTAATCCAACTGGGAAAATAGGGCCTGAAGTAGGAGTATGGTTCTGGGAATTGAAACAAAGGAGATAGATTTGAATAAGATTAGGGATCTGGAAACAAGTTAAAGCATTTCATGTGAATGTTCATGTCTGCAGGCAAATACTAATCTAACCCTGATTGGAACACAGTGTGTCTAGCACTGAGAATTTCCAATCTAGTGAAGAAGACAATACATGAGAAAAATGTGCAGGTATGTGGAGAGAAGATGCAAAACTAGGCATACTAAATAATTCTAGGAAATTAGGTGCAAAGGAGTCACCATGTGGAGTAAGCAGAGTGGTGGCATTGGCTTAGCTGTAAATGATTCTGTGAAATAGATGATCAGCTGGCTTTTGAAAATGAGGAGCAAGTTGGTAGAAACTGGGGAACAGCCTCTCAAAGGGAATTTATTCATGCTTTTTTGTCAGAATAATTTGTTTACAAGGGAATTATTCAGATCCAGCTAAGAAATTTCAGGATATTATTTAGTCCAAAAATAGCAGAAAAAGAGGAAAGTATGTAAAACAAAGTATAATCTCCATGCTCAATTATGACTCTTTGGCACTAGCATATTTTGTTAGAATGCAATGTCTGCTTTCATGTTAATGGGGACAAAGATAATGCGGAAACAGGGATCAGGCTTATGGCTGCACTAAAGAAAACAAAATTATGAAAGTTGACAAAACTTGAAGGGGCTGATATTATTGTCCTGATGTTCCAATATATCATTGTTAATGTTAAGGACAAGATCCTAACTATAAATCAAAGAATGATAGTGTGATAGTTAAGGTTGTGTGTCAACTTGGCTGGACTATGATTCTAAGTGGTTTAAGCAGTTGTGATTTAGTCATCCCCATGATGAGATCTGATGTCATATAATCACCTCCATGATAGGATCTTGTCTTAGGAGCCAATCAGTTGAAAGGGACTTTCCTGAGAGGTGTAGCCTGCTTCCAAAATATATATGGACCAAAACTAAACCCACTACCGTTGAGTCAAAGCGGACTGCCTCCTGAAGAACTGCTGGTGGATTCAAACCTCAGACCTTTTGGCTAGCAG